ACCCCCCAGGGGTAGGGTGGGGCTAAAATGGCTGATCAAAGTTTTACATAGGAATATATAGTAAAAATCTTTTAAAATCTTCTTCTCCAGAACTACAGGGCCAGGAAAGATGAAATTCATGTAGAATCATCCTCAGTTAGTGTAGATTCAAATTTGTTCAAATCATGTCCCCCAGGGGTAGGGTGGGGCCAAAATGGCTGATCAAAATTTAACATAGGAATATATAGGGCAACCTTTGAAAATCTTCTTTTCAAGTATTTCAAAGCCATGATTAGTAATATTTATATGGAATCATCCTCAGGTATTGTAGATCCTAGCTGGTTCAAATTATGATCCCCTGGGGGGTTTAGATTCAAGCCCCCCCCCCAACCTCAGTAAACTTTCAGTTCTTGTCTGATATGTGTTTTTCCTAGCCTGTGTGCTCAGGTGAGCGCTGTGGCCCCTGGGCCTCTTGTTATCTTTACGTCTGGTTTTTACTTTTTCATTTATTTTTTTCGTTTCAGGCAAATACCATAGCTATCAGCCTATAGTAAGATGTTTATTGTACTGCTTACTGTTTACTGAGAAATATCAGCTGAATCTCAATGAACAATCACATGGTATCATAAGGGACAAAATCAGAGACAGATATTTTCCCATGGTTACTGCAGAAAGCTCAGTAGATATACCACAGGAAATCACAGAAACACGTGATGGTGTGATAACGTTTATATCAGACGACATCAGACATGATGTCTTGTACGCCTTTGTTACGGAGTGTCTGGTGGAGGAAAGTGATCTTGAGTTTTTCCTGACCACAGCGTCACGTGACGTGATCTCAGAATACTGCCGGTCCTGGGAGTATAAGATGAGTGAGGGAGAGAGATGTCTGTGTGTACCGGACTATCCAGAGAAGATGTTCGACCTCTTCATAGACAGTCTACAGCTGGACATCATCACACACTGTACCGTGTCTGACAGGAGCATTCATGACAGGATCAGTGGACGTTGTGAGTATTTATAACTTTTAATAAAGTTTTCCCCTAGAAACTAGTTTAAATCAAAAATCGACATATAAATAACTTATTATTGATCATCAGAATTAATCAGGAATTTAGGTACATAATTATTCAGATCATGCAATTTTGGTATTATTTCATTTGTATTACAGTAACTTATTTAGTATTGGAGTTTTATGAAGAGACTTACTTTTACAATCGACGGCTGACTTTTACATTTTAAAGGGGCCAACTCCAAACTCAAAAATATAGAATATGAATTTTCTTTATAAAACACATCCAAAGATACAAGTATTTAATTAGTATTTGTGTTTTTTTCACTGGGATCTTAAAGTTGTAAGGTAAATACTACAGTACTTAAAATGCATACAAACATTAGGATAACTTAACATCGTAGATTTTAAATACGAGCTAGTTTGCTGAAATGCGCTTATGCGAGAATTTTCCAGGTCTAAGTTATTCGTGCATTTCTCAGCTTTTCGTTCTCTTCATTTAACAAAATTACATAAAAAATTCATTTCCAATTATCAATAAATTCATTTGAATGAAAAATCAAAACTAGTGGTACATTGCATATTTCTTATTCTGAATCACTGACCCCGAGAGCTCTCAAGAGCTTCGGGACCTTTTTAGTAATAAATTGATTATACGCCTCCTGGTTCGACCGAATTAGCTCCATAGTTGGTCTTTTTTTTCCTTTCCTCTCTGGTCTACATTCCTCAGATGAAGAGGTAAGGGTCATCTTAATGATGCTCAACAGTATTCCCGTCTTCCTGAAATAGGTGGACCAGAACTACCTTTTCCAGATGAGTGTATTTTACTTGGGGATAAAATATATCCTAACCGTCACCCCATTCTTACCGCATTTACAGAACAACAAATAAATAGAAGGACCATTTTTGAAAGAAAAAGGTGTCGAAAAGTAAATCGAATCATTTCAACACATAGGTCTATTGTTGAACGGTCTATTTGTAGATTAAAGAGTTATAAAATATTAAGTAGTGTTTGGAGCCAAAACAGAAGACAACTTCGCCGAACTGTAATTATTGTTGCAGGGTTGGCTACTAGAAGAGAAATTTAACATTTTTCTTTAATTATTGCCGTAATGAACAAAAGGCTGTATAAAAAACTAACTATCGGTTGGAATACACTTTTTATATTGATAAGATATTGAGCATTACGGGTTATCTTAAGATTTTTGTAAAACAATGTTTAAAACGATAACCCTAAAATGGTTAGTATTTATTGCACTTAATATACACCATACTTCAAATGTGGTTTTTGTTCACCTGTTTGGATATATGCTATCCTGTGCAATTAAAGAATAAAACATTGAAATAAAGCAACAAAAAATAGTTCCTAAAGACAGAAGTTATAATCCATCTTTTGTTTTCTTTTCTGATTTACTTTATAAGTATGTAGCTATAGTGTGTGTTGAGATTCAATTTTAGTGTTTGGAGTCGGTCCCTTTGAATTGTAAAAGTCAGTCGTTGATTGTAAAAGTAAGTCTCTTCATAAAACTCCATTACAAACAATTATATATTTTTCAAGTAAAACCCTCACAACTACTTTACCCTTTTATATCTACATCAATACCTTAAAATATTTGATTAATGTCAGTTATAACCGACATAAATCATTGAAATGGAAATAACTTTGACAGGTCGTAGGCATATTGGGTTCGTTGTTTTAGTATAAATAGTTCTCCCGTTAAAAGCATATTGATTATTTTTGCATTTCTTTTAACTGCTCAAAAATTCTTAATCTATAAATCTAAGCAAAAGAAATCTGTGATTCATTTTGCAGGTTTACATGGTTTATTTTACAGATTATACATGTATTATAGGTTGTCATTTGAGACATTTCTATATCTTGATGCTTGAAAGATTTCGAATTTTGGGTTTTTTGAAAAACAATTACTAGTATATATATGTAAAAAAAATATTTTGAGTAAGCTATATTGCACAGATAACTAGTTGCATAACTTACTTGAGTATAAAATATGCCAAAAATATACCCATCCACATAATCTGCAGTAAATCGATTTTCTTATAATATTTTTGAAAGATTTTAAATATTCACAATAATAAATAAATTATATTTTAATATTAAAGGTACTTGGACACAGATGTGAAGTCAATATTTTTTTTCTATAATATTACGACTTATATATTTTAAGCATTTTCACAAATATTAATCTTATTCTTAATCCTTAATAAAAGTTGCAATCTTGTTGTGTATTAATGAGAAATATTAAAACTTTCATCCAGAAAAATAATTCTATTCAGAGTACAAATGTAAGAAAGCAAAACTCCTTCACAAGTATCGTCATTTCGAACTAAGAATTGCGTACAGAGTTTAACAAATCGAGCACACTCGTGTTATGTACATAGTTTTTGTTAACAGGGCACGAGTTTTGTAATTGTTGATGTTTAAATTCACCGGGTGCGTTCAATCGTCACAGTCTGCTTACCACAACTGCAAGGACTGACAATATATTGTGTGTTTGTTTTGCTTTCGAAAATATCCACTCTGAATTTTCTGGATTATAGTATTCATAGTTTTCATTTATACACAATGAAATTGCTACTTTTCCAAAGGATTAAAAATAGAATTAATTTGTGAAAGAGCAAGGATGTGTCAATCAAACCCGCCAAAAATTTGAAATTTTAATATCTTTTATATGAAATAAGATTTTTAATTAATGTTTGTGTGAAATGCTATTAAAATATATAAGTCGTCATATTATAGAGAAAATAATAACTTCAAATCTGTGTTAATTACCTTCAAAATATGTACAAAATAATAAAATGAAAATTACTTTTTAATGAATATTCACAAACATTTTCATTTATTATAATAATTTAGTATTAGTACATTAAATTAAACCAATGAATACATCTTAAATATTAACGAGATCTTCTATGACTTCGAAATACACATTTATAATACCTGTCAACTTATCAACAATACATGTTTATTAAAAAATATACTTTTATGACTTCGAACTTTGCAATAATAATAATGTCAACGTGTCGACCTGTCAGCCAGATATAAAACAAATATATTTATCAACAAATGCACTTCAATGACTTCGAACTTCACAGTAATATTGATGTCAACAGTTCGACCTGTCAACCAAACAGACAATGTAGCATGTTTTTGAACAAATGTTCTTCTATGAATTCAAAATACACATTTATATAATAAGGTCAGATTTGTAGTATTCAAATTCGATAATAGAAAAAATAACGTAGACAGTGCATGTATATAATGCACAAATATTTAAAATTCCAAAGAATCTGGGGGTTTAGGCGAGTCATATGCCCACAAGGATTTTCTCGCTTTGTAAGCATATCGAACATTTCATAGTCGTACGATTTACCTTAACATTTAAACTTTGTACAGCAATGTCCAAATGACAATACCTTTATTTCTTTAAATCTTGAGGTTATCGTTACAGTATTTTAAACATATGTGATCTTTTCATACTGCGTGTTAATTGTTATATCAAATATGTTTTCAGAGTTGGGAGATGGGTATACATTTCTTGTTAACTGTTTTTGTATACAGTACAGTCATATCGTGCTGGTATACCCATGGTTGTTTTCATTTCAATTGTGTAATACCGGTATAGTCTTGAACTAAATGCATTCAAATTGTTATAAACATGTTTCTCGAAAACTTGTTTATGATAGGAAATATATTAATTGACTATATATAAATTCATTATCTTATTTATTCATTTTGTTTTAGTGAAAAAAATATATGTATGTATAAATTTCAACCTAATCTTAAAAAAGCCGTGGTCCGAATACTTGCGACAAGTGATGCGTGCTTTAGCACCGCCGCTATGACCAGTGAGCTACGAAGTCTCTATATGTATAGCAACCCCCCAAATTGTACTTGGAGTTTTTGAGAATATGTTCCGAAATTTAAATAGGTAAACTAACTTTTTCATATAGAGTGGGTCTTCTTACCTTTTTTAGCTCACCTGAGCCGAAGGCTCAAGTGAGCTTTTCTGATCACATTTTGTCCGGCGTCCGTCTAGCTGTCCGTCCGTCTGTCTGTCCGAAAATTTTTCACATTTTCGACTTCTTCTCAAGAACCGCTGGGCCAATTTCAACCAAACTTGCCACAAAGTATCCTTGGGTAAAGGGGATTCAAGTTTGTTCAATTGAAGGGCCAGGCCCCCATTCAAGGGAAGATAATTGGGAATTAATGAAAATTTAGTGGCATGTTTTAAAAATCCTCTTCTCAAGAACCACTGTGCCAGGAAAGATGAAACTTATGGGGAAACATCCTCAGGTAGTGTAGATTCAAGTTTGTTCAAATCATGACCCCCAGGGGTAAGGCGGGGCCACAATGTCCGACCAAAGTTTTACGTAGAAATATACAGTGGACCCTCATTTATCCGAACACTTTGGTTCCCAGTCAATTCGTCCGGATAAGTGTAGCATCCGGATATCTGAATCACCAGTTAAACAAGACAGAATAACATGTTAAAATTTCGATGAAAAATTGTCCGGATACTGACACATCCGGATATTTGGCGTCCGGATATCCGTAGAAATATACAGTGGACCCTCATTTATCCGGACGCTTTGGTTCCCAGTCAATTTGTCCGGATAAGTGAAGCATCCGGATATCTGAATCACCAGTTAAACAAGACAGAATAACATGTTAAAATTTCGATGAAAAATAGTCGGGATACTGACACATCCGGATATCTGGCGTCCGGATATCCGTAGAAATATACAGTGGACCCTCATTTATCCGAACGCTTTGGTTCCCAGTCAATTTGTCCGGATAAGTGAAGCATCCGGATATCTGAATCACCAGTTAAACAAGACAGAATAACATGTTAAAATTTCGATGAAAAATTGTCCGGATACTGACACATCCGGATATCTGGCGTCCGGATATCTGAAGGTCCACTGTATAAGAAAATTCTTTAAAAATCTTCTTCTCAAGAATAGCAAAGCCATAATTGATCATATTTATATGGAAGCATCCTCAGGTAGTGTAGATTCAATTTTGTTCAAATCATGACCCCCGGGGTTAAGGCAGGGCCACAATGGCCGACCAAAATTTTACATAGAAAAATACAGGAAAATTCTTTAAAAATCTTCTTCTCAAGAATAGCAAAGCTGTAATTGATCATATTTATATGGAAGCATCCTTAGGTAGTGTAGATTCAATTTTGTTCAAATCATGACCCCGGGGAGTAGGGCGGGGCCACAATGGCCGACCAAAGTTTTATGTAGAAATATATACATGTAGGAAAATTCTTTAAAAATCATATCTTCTCCAGAATAACAAATCCATAATTGATCATATTTATATGGAAGCATTTTCAGGTAGTGTAGATTCAAGTTTGTTCAAATCATAACCCCTTGGGGTAGGGCGGGGCCACAATGTCCGATCAAAGTTTTACATAGACATATTTAGGAAAATTCTTTAAAAATCATATCTTCTCAAGAATAGCAAAGCCATGATTGGTCATGGTAATACTTTTGGATTTAAACTGTTCAATAATAAACAAATTCTACTTTTTCCTAGCCACAGTGCTCAGGTGAGCGATGTGGCCCTTGGGCCTTTTGTTTTTAAATGAAGAGAGATACATCCTCCCATACCCTTTCAATATTTGTATACAAAAATTGGTACAAAGACCCACTCTATATGAAAATACAAATTTACCATTCAATTTCTATTATTTTTACGGGTACTAAAGCGTGTTTCCATTTTGGTGGGTTAATTAAAATCAATTTCTAAGTCATTTGATTCAGGTTTTATCATAACTGTATATACAGTTGTATATGGTTATAAATAACTCCCAAATTTAACAAAAGCGGAATTTATAAGAATTTTTAAATTAATATTTTTTCTGCCCTTGCCTAGGCATATGACTCGCCAAAAACCTCAGATTCATTTGAAACGTTATAAATTAAAGTTGAATATTTTGAAGTTTTCATAAGATAGTACTTTATATTTCGTTAATAAGAGTTATTTTTCATCATTGATGAGTAAATTAATTGTGTTCATTATTTGCATCATCTAGTGAATATACCCAAAGAAGTATTAAGTTGGGATATCCATGCTAGAGAAAGGTTTGTGAAGAACTCCAAGTTAGGAAGCGTACAATTGTTTCGCGCCAGAGGCATGATAGTTGGATGTGCAGGTGCCGGAAAAACAACTCTTTTACAAAAACTTCACAGAAGAGGTATAACAGATGAAGATGAACCAACTGAGACAACTATCGGCCTTGAGGTTCATGAAGATTTGTTTGCTATTAAGAAAAACAAGTTAACAGGTGATACTTTCCTTTATCATATACTCAGTGGTAAATACACCAATTCTGCACGGTGTGATATGGGTGACGTCACAATACCCCATATCACGGACCGGTCCGAAAATCCATATCACGTATCGGACCGGCGGGCCGAAAATCATTATCAAACCGAAAGTAACGTTTGTATCAATTTTAAAAGTTAATTTACTTGATTTTTTTTAAATATTCATATAAAATAATTCTTCAATGACTTTTGTAGTCTTAATTTTTTTGTCAGTTACCTAAAATTGGTTCTATTACATTTTAAATAAAAATGTCATAAACAAGCATGAAACATTCTTCAGTGACCATATGTAACCTGTATGTAGCCTTCGGCCCTCGGGCTGATATGGTGCCACTCGGGCTGATAAGACATATGATATGGATTATCATTTTAGTATGTAATATTCTCTATTTTTCAAACAGTGTATATGCTATGTTTTAGAGTATATACTTATTTAATCAAACTGAAGTTCGAATTTCTAATTCTTTTGATTAATCACGCCTATGTTTCTCATTTGTTGAAAAGTTCCAATATCAGGATAGGTATGGTGATGTTCTTTAGAAAATTGTTCAGCATGTTTAAAACTAATGTATACACAGTAAAAAGATGACTACATTAAATATAGCAAAAGCTTTGCATTTAAACACCATGAAGGTTATCAAGGTATTGGATTGCTAATGTACATGTAATTATAAGTTTTATGAAATATTTAGCAAAGATTTTTGTCAGGAATTCTCTTTTAGTTTTATATTAATTTATAAGCTTATCTTCGTACTCAAACAGATTTTGCGAATGCTGACAACATTAGAAATCCATATCTTGACAACAACGTAATAAGCATGACAGACTTTGCAGGGCAAGTGGCATACTATGCATGTCACCAGGTTTACCTGTCAAGAAGAGCATTCTACATCGTGGTCATTGACATGTCCAAAAATCTTGATGAAGAATGCCGATTATATGACACAGATCGTCATGATCCAACAGGATCCTTATTTCATTCATGGACTTACGGAGGTGAATAACATATTGATACTTAATTTTTCATCTCCGAGTCTAGGTAAGAACAGTTATATATTTTATCAAATTTAATAAGATTTTATACGGCAAGTTTTTCTTTACATTTGTAAAATCATTAGCTTCTTCTTCTAGGTATACTTTTTTGTGTTATTTGTATTTATGATTAGGTATTTTGCAGAGGGTTTACGAAAAAGCTTTGCTAACGAGGTTTGTTGTAAATGGGACAAGAACCAATGACATTGTAAATGTATATTTTACCTATATTTACATAGTAGTAATTTAATGTAAAGGATAATTAATTTACAAACCAATTGAAAGTTAATACAGAAATGAAAAAAAAAAACCATGTGCATAATAATCTGTGAAAAGAAACATAAAATATCTTGATAAATAAGAAAAGAAAAAAAATTAATATTATATATATATTGCAGGAAACTATACCTTTTTCCAAATGACCACATTTTAGATTGAGCATCAATTTAAAAGCATAAAGGAAGATGATTATATCCAAATGAATATTATTCCTCTAATGTAAATTGTTATCACTGTGTGTTTTTTCTCTAACATTAAATTTTAGTTTTGTCCATCGCAAAATAATAGATTCTTGTGATTATCTTTTAAATTAGTTCACGTGAATGGTTACAAGCGAATAACTATAATCACAGTGTCTGGTGATTACTTTTCTTCTTCATATCAAGCTAGTAAGAGAAATAAACCTAAAATAAATATATAATAAATATAATAAATTATTTTTTTAATAAAAATATTCATACCGGGAATTAAATTCATCGCAAGTTGGCATTAATAATTTTATCCATTTAAAAATTATAAAGTCTTGTGATTATGCTTTTAAACGTGATCACCTGAATGGTAACAAGCAAATATTTAAATCTGGTGATTGCTTGTCTTCTTCATATCAAGCCAGTAAGAGAAAGTGACTTTATAAATATGATTTTTTAAATAAGAATATTCATATTAAATTTAATGCAAGTTGACATTAATATTTATGTGTATCTTTATCTGTAGAATACTTCCATTTTTGGCTACAAACAATAAATACATACTGCAATGACGGAATAACACAAAAGGATCCGAAAGACACAACAGCAATCAAAGATTCCATGCCAAATGTCAATTTACAGCCGGTTATTCTTATTGCCTCCCATAAAGACCAGCTGGTAAGTACAAAGTGTCTTCGTTTTAAAAATTGTTCATGCGTGTAGCGTTTTTTTGCTTTTGAACAAGCTTGATAATGGAAACCTCATTTGCAGCTAATAAATGAATATTACTACAAAAATTAGAAATTCAAACCTGATGATTGAAACGTGTAAGTCACCTTTTTATCATAAAGAATTGTTTTAGGTAACCATTGACGTCCTCTTTTACTGTACTATTTACATGTCTAAAAAATAAAACAGATGTCCTAAAGTCGGTGTCAACATTTATATCAAGTTCGCTAGATTATATTAACTCATACATGTATGAAGGAATTTTTAATAATTAATTGATAATGCTTGCAATACACCTAAATATCGAGATTAATTTTAAACATACAGGTTACTTAATTTTAAAAGACTTATTTTCTAAATATAAAATGGAAACACACATAAAATAGCAATATTTAAAATTATGTGTCACTCTGACCGGAAAGTAGCTATTTTTATGATTTATCGACTCTTCACGTGTATTGGGGGCTGGTACAGTACTATTTGCAAAGGTGCAGTGTTTAGTTATACAAATACAGCATGCAGACATTATCTTTATTGTCTCTTTAAGTTTTTGTTGCAGTATTCATAAATCGATTCATAAATGAATCAACTAATACACTGATTTTTATTGTCTTTGTTAGCCTGAATAAAACTTCAACTTGTTATTCACTCCATTATTTGATGGGTAATACTACTAACATGAGTATTATTGTTTAACCAGCATATATACATTGTCCTAGAATGCAGATACGAAATTGATTAACAATTATTTATTACCATCAGTCACACGATATTCCTGGGAGAAAACTGAAATATTTAGACAACATGTTGAATGTCGATGAACAAATCCTGTCAAAATAGAAAAAACTATTTTTGTGGAATATCTATACACCAAGAGTAGAAATTACTACACTATCAATTTATATCTTTAAAAATAATGTATTTATCCATGTATCGTACATTTTAATACAATATTTTTGATGGATGATAAATTTAATCCTCATCTCTTATTTGTAAATTTGTCGTGTATTTTATTCTTAATTGGAATTACAAATTCATTTAACATTAAAAATTGGATTGAGTTTGGCATGTTTTGTATTATCTGCAACGCCATGCCGTCCTGGTTAGACAACCAAACAGCCATCAATTTAAGGATGTATTCTTATGATACCCGAAAAAAACGTGCACTAAACTTTTAACATGCTTAAATGTTTCTGAAAATGTAATATCTAAGGAATAATTTAAAGACAAGAAATTTGTATGTTAACTTCACAATAGAGTTCTTTCAGAATATACAAATTTCATTAAAAATGCTATTAGACCTATTACAAAAACTTATAAATATAATCAATTGAAACTTAATTTTGCTTAGATTTACTTGAAAGTCTTAAAGTTGACTTTTAAAGCAAAATATGAGCAAATAAATACCAATTAGATAAATTGTGCCCAAAAATGTTGTTCACCAGTGTCAAAATTAGGCAAATTTTTCCTATAAAATTGCTCGAAAAACCTAAGAAAAACATATTTCTACAATTAAAATTTCTGTCGGTTGGCTCTTTAAACGGAGTGCCATATGGAGAGAATGGCACTTCTGTTATAAAAGGGCGATACAGCATTCATCATGTCGATTTCACTTGTTGACTTTCATAGGCCTATTTCGTAAATATCGTAATTTTGCATACTCTTGGTCATTAATACAACATAGAAAGATTTTTTTATTTAGAAATAAAAATAGTTAAACAAGTAAATCATAAAAACTATAGAACCTGTTCTTAAATTGTTATCAGTTTGAATTTTATGTTTACGATGGGGTAAAATTACATCCTTAAATAGCTCACTAAAGGAAATCAATCATATTCTCAGTGGTTGTTTTGAAAACCTCGTGGATATTTTCAATGAAGTAGTCTAATGTCTGCTTAGCTACCCTTAAAATGAAAGCTTTGTAAATCTTCCCGACAAAAAAATAATAAATCATGATTCCCGGCGATAGTTTAAAAATTTAAAACAAAAAGGGAAATAATGGTGAAAACTTATTTTAAACATCCGATAATCATAGACGCTACGTAATTTATGTTTATTTATATTTATATATAATCTCGAAAGCTAATACATTATAAAATTAACTGTGTTGGGTTTTTTAACACATGTTTTCATTTCCTTATTATGAAGCAGGTCGGAACTTGTAACACATCAGAAACATTTTACAGCCAGTTGGATGCGTGTTTATCTAAAGAACAAACCCTTAAACAGCTTATAATACCATATCGATATTTTGAAGTAGAATGTCCACCTGGAGCATTGACTCAAAAGCAACAGATGACAATTGACCGCGTTAAGAAAAGTATAGTAGAAACTGTACAAAATCTACCACATTGGGGGGAAGAAGTTCCCTTGAAATGGTTTGAACTTGAGAAAAGTCTTAGCAAGAGGAAAGCAAACGGAGAAAAGGTTCTGAAGTGGTTAGAATTGAAAGAAGCGGCAAAATCGTTTTCAATAGACGAAGATGACTTTAATGATGTTCTCCGTTTCTTACATGAAATAGGAAAAATCCTATACTTTTCTGTGGATAAGCTCAAAAATACGATCATCATAGATGTTCAGTGGTTTGTTAATGCATTCAAATACATCATAACTGACGAGAAGCATTTTGCTCGGGAAGACAACATAAACGTACTAGTTAATACAGGGAAAATTACTGGGCAATACATTCAAGAGATATGGAAAGATATCGAAAGCCATCGTGATGAACCTTGTGCTGATACAAACCTTAGTGTTGAGACTGATAGACATCATGATTCATTGTGTCAATCTTACTTAAATCACAAAGATGAAATTCTACAATACATGGACAAACTTGGCCTGATGACAAGAATTGAAGGACATCTATGCGCTGACAATGAGGAGATATATTACATTCCGAGCATGAACCGAACCGACTTTTCCATTGAAAATAAAGATGAAATCAGAGGAAAACAAAAATCAGCAATGATGGTATACTTTTTCAAGTCTTATTTGCCCCATTTTTTCTTCTTTCGATTAGTGGTAAAGTGTTTAAAGAAATGGAAAGTTTGCGATGAAAATTCTTTTTTTAAAAATGCTACACTTTACAAGGCTGAAGAAGCTGGTCATTATTTTGCAATCGCCGTTAGCAAAACATCCATCCAGTTGCAAATATTTACACGTGATGAAAAAGTGAAAATGGATGAAAAATGCGTCAAGAAAATCAGACAAACAGTGGAAGACTTTATACAAGAAATAACAGAAACCTTTCACAGGGGAATTATTTATGATATTGGTTTTTCATGTAGCGACATAAAAATTACAGATGAAGATGAAGATTTCTTTTTGAAAGGGACAGACATTAAACAAGAAATTGGGAATTCGAATGAAATAACCTGTCCAAAACATTTTCGTGGTAATTACAAGCACAAAATAGATGCAGGCAAAATACGTGTGTGTTTGTTGGAGAGAAAGTCCACTTCATTTTCAAGTGACAATTAGAATTTTTTTTTCAAACTGTCATCATATTTTGAAAAAAGTGTTGTGCTTCTGTAGATAAAACGTTTTTCCCAAGGGACAAAAAAAAAGAAAAAAAAAATAGACACACAATTTTATCTTGATAAAGTATATTCTTACCTTTTATCTCTCTAAATTTGAAAACTTTGTCTTAAAGGTACAACTTTATTATATTGTATAACATGCATGCGATAAGCATCCTCCTTTATTTAGTATTGTTTTTTTTTTATTGTTCTTTTTGTTAGGATATATTAGCATGGTAACCATTACCCACAGAAATAAAATTATCTGTACCCGGTTTATGTTTGTGGCTTGAGATCCTTCAATCTGAACGAGTTTTAAAATATTAATATGGCTGTGTCCTTTTGGGTGCATTAACTTTTATGAGTGATATGAAAGTGATCATTTCATTACAGAGAGATGCATTTAAGCCATATAACGTTTTGTGATGCAATGTTGTTGTCTAAATTTGTAAGGTCAGGCTTTATATACATTATTTCTGTACTGGCAAGCAACCTTTATTTATCACTTTTAGAATATAAAATAATTATTACAAAATAACGGATATCAACTTCAAATTCACTTTTCTTTGAAAAAACATTATTTGAACAGACGCTGTAGAAAAAAAGTTTACTACTGTGAAAAAATTACATTTTGATCAACACATTCATAAAAAATGTTTACTGCTGTGAAAAGAATTAAGTTTTGATCACCATATAAATATTATACTGTAAAGCATTTATGAAAAATATTCTCATCTTCTTCTCAAGCTCCACCGGGTCAATTTCAACCAAACTTGCCACAAAGTATCAATATGTGAAGAGGATTCACATTGGTTCAAAGGAAGTGATATGCCTTCTACCAAGGGGATATAATTATGAATCAGTGGAAAATTAATGGAATCTTTCAAAAATCTTCTCAAAAACCAATGGACCAGGAAAGATTAAATTCATGAGGAAGCAACCTCTGGTAGTGTAAATTCAGGTTTGTTTAAATCATAACCTCCAGGAGTAGGGTGGGATCATGACAGGGGGTCTAAATGTAATATAAGGATACATAGAAAATGGAAAATCTTTAAAAATTATCATCTCTAGAACCATTGCGGCATGAAAAATGAAGCTCATGCGAAAGCATTCTCTGGTAGTGTAGATTCAAGTTTGTTCAAATCATGACCCCCCGGGGGTAGTGTGGGGCCAAGGTGAAAATAAAGAAGAACAATCAATTCGATAAAAATCTACAAATAATATAAAAATGTAAGAATGGTATGAATCATGGCCCCCTCCTCCTAAAAAAAAGGATTATGGATCATATCAGGTTTCAGAAATCAGATTTTTATAAAATCTATGTTTAATCAAAAATTGTTTTAAATGGATAAAATAAATAAGTTTTGTCTCAATATTAATTTTAAAATTTATTTTTTTTATATATTTGAAAAAATTATACAGGAACAAAAGTCAATGTATGGTACTCATTTGGCCCCATTTGTTTTTTATTTCTCCAATTTTAATAACCTAAAAAAAAGGATTAAGGATTAATAATGTCATGTGAGTGAAGAAAAATTGTCATAGTGTGAAAAATTGACATTCCCTGCTGACTGGTCACCAGTTAATTGAAATAAAAAATTAACACAAGAATCATAGGTGTACAATGTGCAATAGGTGGTTTATCGATTTTACCAGTGGAATTTTTATTTAAAAAAAAAAATGACAACTTTATAAGCTTAAGATGAACATTTTACAAATAATCAAATAATCAGTAATTATTACATTTTTTCTTACATTTTGAGTGAATATCAACGCAGAAGGTAAAATGTAAACTGTTTTTTAAAATAATAGAAAAGAAGAAGGCTTAATTGCGCCCTAAAAATTTAATGTTCTTACAAAAGTTATGAAATTGGCTTTATAAGTAGTTGCGTAGATGAATATGATAAATAATTTTTTTAAATGGTATGAAGGAGTACCATTGTGGAAATGTGACGTCATTAATTTGATACATTTCAAAATTTTAATGCAGAATAGACTCCGAATGACCCATTCCTGTACATGTGCTTATTTTCCTTTGGAAAAACGTGTAGTATCTGCCACAGTCATTGTTCTGATGTACAGCATGATCCCAAAACTAAAATAAAATGGAGAAATGAGCTTTAAATGTTTATATCAGAAATATAAATGAAATTGTTCCTGCATGTTCGTAGAGCATATTGCGCATCTTATCATGTGGGAGACATACATGTACACTCAATATGTAAGTGACAATGGTATGCATAAATAAGGGACGATATACTATGTGATGTCTTTTCGAGTTTAATGTGAAATCAAGGTAAGAATGGAGATAAATATTTTAACTGCATGAGAAAACATTTTCAATATATCTTCTCTCTTTTTTATGTAAAAGGGATATAATTAGACTCTAGGGAATACCAAAATATCGGAAGACCTAGTCTCTGTGATTGAGACGTTCTAGCATCTTTTGATATCAATCTGGGAGATGTCCATTGACAAGGTACGAGAAAAGAAGAGATCCACAGAGAATCGGTATATATTGCATAAACGAAAGATTTTTTTTACATACACAATTGTATAACCTTTGATACATTTCAAACTTTAAATTTCTTACTTAGACCATGGAAGCTTGACAATTGTTTAAAATCATCCCTGTGTCATATCTTTGACCAGGAAAGCACGTGAAATCCTGTGTATTTATTAACATTACAATACTGTAATTAGAGCCACTTAAAAAAACATCTTGTACAACGGATTTGAGGAAACTAAAAAGTTAAAAAGTAGCCTACAATTTTATGGTAGACTGCACAATTATGTATGTACACAATATGTACACAATAACGTTCTCATTATATTATACTTGTACGAAGGACACTTCTTGGACCTGATATCTATTGCTGGTTTGACAAAGAAGTTTTCTTTTATAAAATGTACCTTAACCAAACTAAATGTCGTCTATCACATTTATAATTTATATGTCCATTGTGTCATTTTGCAGGGCGAGTGTGATGCATTTTTTCAGTAAAAGGTACCATCCGAAAATGTTTCGTTTATTTCACTGAAAATGCTGATTTATAGTTGGATTGAACATGTTGAAAACGGTTAAAGACAGATATATCTTAGCTGAGTTTTGTAATTTACTCTACTATTTAGCTTTCTTTTGTTTGGTCTCATAACATTTTTTTAACCTTTACAAAATGGGTACCTAATTTAATTGTACATTTAATAATTCAATAGCTTAATATAAAGTCACAACAACGGCAAGAACAATGGTTGTGTAGGTTTCGGAGCCAAGATTGTGAAACTCATGTAGTCATCGTGTCACAAAGATCTCAGAGCTAAGATCGTAATTTCTCATAGTTCATCTAGGAGCTAAGATGTTAAAAGGTATTTATACCTAATATGGACACCATTTTACAAAAAGTTGCAGTGAATTGATCACGTATTTGGTATTAGCATTTAGCGACTTAAAGTGTTACTTCATTATAAATGATATAGTCCGCCACTTACTGATCTCCTTAAATAATACGGATATGTCCTCTGGTTATATTAACCTTGTGTATTTTGCAAACCTTTTATTAAAACTGAACTTGAAAGTGCCGATGTTCGAGAACAATACATCATAAAAACTAATTGCCAATCAAAAGAAGACGCTCTTCTAATCATATCTAATCTCTCAGAGTTTCAAAACACGTTCATAAATAAGAGGTTTTTGTCCGGCACTTTACTCTCTGATAGTATCAATTATAATTCATAACACAATATCAAAATATTAATAAGGGCAATGTACAAAATTATTATGTTTCAATTAAAACTGGAATTTGTAAGCTCATAATTAAAATCAATAGACCAGACAAATGCATACATTCGATATAAAAAAAATAAGGGAAGTTATAATGACATCAGACGTTTTCTTTTTCAAAGATAAGTTCATGTAAACGCACATTCAGATTTTTTTTGTCTTTCGCTGTCCACATCAATTATTTGCAAGAATGTATTTTCTGTAAATCATATGCTTATTTCACATCCTGCGTTGAACTAGATTTCATGTAAGTATAAAAGCAATGCCGACTCAAGGGAGACATGACATAATAGCCAGCAGGGCAATTTGTCTTCAATGAACCTGACGATTTTCCATTTTAGTTCTGGTCCAGAATATGCCTTCTACAGATCCGCAATATCCCAGTTTTCCACTCTCTCTCTCTCTCTGGTTCAGGTGTGTCATCTACAGATCCGCAATATCCCAGTTTTCCACTCTCCATAATCAGGTAATAGGTAGGATACTTCATGGACCTAATATGAAAAATGTAATCAATTTCTATTTCTTTTACTGGTTCACAGACAAACACGTTTTTTCGTAAAATGTTATATAGCGCGTGGTAGCATTTAATGTAAGCATGCTTTACAGATTTCATGTCAAAAGTTTTGTCGGGAGATAGCATTTTAGAATATAGCCCCGTTGCATTTGTTGGCTTCTGGATTATAATTTGGGGATCCATTTTTTACGCCAAGTATCATTTTATATATGTCATTTTAATATACGTGGGAACATTTAATGTAACATAAAATTTATTTTTGCTTGTCTTCTAGAAACAATGACAATTTTATTAACATAAAATTTATTTTTTTAGAAACAAGACAATTTTATTTATCGTAAACTGTATCTTATATCTTGTCCTAGAGATACTCATACACAGTGAGAGAAGAACCGCTTCCACTTCCCACCATTATACTCTGTAGATCAGTAACATATAGAGCACGGAGTAAAGGAGAAGACTTATCTCCTTCAAGTAGAATAGAGAGAAGCTCGTCATTCCGGTTTAATATATGGATTCCAAATTCGCTGTGTAAATTAATGACGTAACTTAGACGGGGTTTGATTTTCTGTCCGGAACTAAGACACACTAATATATTTCCCATAAAATCTGTGCAGATTCCTGTCGGTCGAATTAGTGATAACGAATAAGAACCAGAGTAGGAAAATCGATATTGTCCTGACTTGGAAACAACGACAACCTCACTAGCATCAAAGTCCGATGTACAAATATCACCATTGATGTTTTCTGCGATGTAGGTTACACTAGAGTATAAGTCTTCTCCATTATCATGCTTTTGAATCTCTTCTTATTCCTTTCCCATTTTGCTATATCTTGCTATTTTCCATTTTGTATCTTTTTTCATTTCCACAAGAATGTCTCCATTTATTTTAGAGGAGTAGATAGACCATGGTGCCCATTCCCCTGTGGTGAGTAGAGGTGTGGTTTTCATATCACTGTCTACTTTGTAGATGGTCTTTTTTTCATAATCTGTATAAAGAAGATCTTCCTCTGCTGTGACTGTATGGTATCCATCCACCTGTATTTTCATGACAATCTTCTAAAGTATATTTCCTTGCAAGTCAAACTGGATGAGACTTCCATCATCATCACTAGCCCAAAACTTCTCCGTTGATACTCGAGATAAATGAATAACTGCACTTAGACCAGATATTTTAAATTCCTGTACTTTTGTCACAAAACCAGTAGGTTCCATGATGACAGGC